TCTCTCCTTCTCACTCTCCCCTCCCTCCTCTTTGTCCCTCCTCCACCCACCTTCAGGCCTCCCCTCCCCTCTCTACTCTCCCTCTTCCCCTCCCTCCTCCTCTTCCATCCTCCCTTCCTCCCTCCACCACTAGTCATCTCCTCCTGTCCCCCTCCCTCCTCCCCTTCCACCCTTCCCTCCTTCCCCTCTTCTTCGCCACCTCCAGTCCTCCTCTTCCCTCTCCCTCCTCTCCCCTCCCCTCTTCCCACCTCTTCCCCTACCTTCCGCTCTCCTCCCACCTCTCCTCTCTCCCTCCCCCCCCCTCCCCTGCAGGTGTGCATCCACTCATGCTTCCAGGAGAGCATGATCGAGAAGTGCGGCTGCGCGTACATCCTCTACCCGCGGCCCAAGGGCGCCGAGTTCTGCGACTACCAGAAGCACAGCGCCTGGGGTGAGCCGCGCCCTCCCCGCCCCCGTCCGTGGGGACAGCGCCCACCCGGCGCCCTTTCCCCACTACTGCTCTATGCTTGGTCTCTGCCTCAGTTTCCCTCTTCTTTCGGCCTCTCTCCTCTCTTCCTCGTCAGCTCTCCAGTGTCTCCCGTCTCTCCTTCACTTTCTCCTTTTGGTCTTCGTGTTTTTGTCAAGCAGACAATTGATTAAGAACAACAGCAAACCTGTGGCCGGGTGTGGTGGCTCCCGCCTGTCATCCCAGCTACTCAGGAGGCTGAGATCGGAGGATCGCGGTTCAAAGCCAGCCTGGGCAGGGAAGTCTGTGAGACTCTGATCTCCAATGAACCACCAGAAAACCAGAAGTGGCGCTGGGGATCAGGTGGTAGAGCGCCCGCCTTGAGCTGAAGAGCTGAGGGACAGCGCCCAGGCCCTGAGTTCAAGCCCCAGGACCAACTAAACAAAAGCCAAAAGGAAGAAGGCAGGCAGGCATGCTACTGCCCTTCTGCCCAGGAGCCTGCAGCTTCCAGCATGTTCTACAGGGTGCTGCGGGCAGGGCAGGGTTCCCCGGTTTGGGTGGGGTATCTGGAGGCCCAGGAAGAAAACACTGGAGGCCGAAGCACCTGTGTCATTCCTCCACCTTGCCCTTCAGCTTGAGATTCAAACACAGACATTACACTGCGTGTGTGTGTGTGTGTGTGTGTTTTGGGTGTGGTGGGGCTTGAACTCAGGGTCTCTCAATCTTGGTTAGCATTTTTTGCCTAAGACTGGTGCTCTACCACTTGAACCACAACTCTCCTCTCTATTTTTTGTCAGTCGTGGGACTTGAACTCAGGGCCTGGGCGCTGTCCCTCAGCTCTTCAGCTCAAGGCTGGCGCTCTACCACTTAAGCCACAGCACCACTTCCGGTTTTCTGGTGGTTCATGGGAGATCAGAGTCTCATGGACTTTCCTGCCCCGGCTGACTTTGAACCGTGATCCTCAGATCTCAGCCTCCTGAGTCTCTGGGTTGACAGGCGGGAGCCATGGGCAATGGGCTTAGCTTAATCTCATAAGCGTTGTTTTGCCGGTGTCACTTCTGAGACACCCTGGCAGGACTCTGCGTGGGGGCCTGGCTGTCCCAGGAGGCCTCTTGGGTGCGGGTGCAGGGAGCGGTGTCTCCTCGGAAAACAGGCACCCCCCCCCCTCTGTCTCTGCGCCCGCAGGCTACTGCTATTACAAGCTCCAGGGAGCTTTCTCCATGGACAGCCTGGGCTGTTTCTCCAAGTGCAGGAAGCCGTGCAGGTGAGCCGGTGCAGGCTGGTATAGGCTGGTGGAGGCTGGTCCAGGCTGGTGGGGGCCTGTGTGGGCTGTTATAGACCGGAGGAGGCTGATCCAGGCCAGTGTAGGCTGCTGGTGTGGCCTGGTGGAGGCTGGTGGGGCTGGTGTAGGCTGGTCCAGACCAGTGTGGGCTGGTGTGGCTTGGTGGAGGCTGGTAGGGCTGGTGGGGGCCTGTGTGGACTGGTATAGGCTGGTGTAGGCTGGTCCAGACCAGTGTGGGCTGGTGGAGGCTGGTCCAGGCTGGTGAGGGCCTGTGTGGGCTAGTGGAGGCTGGTGTAGGCTGGTCCAGACCAGTGTGGGCTAGTATGGGCTGGTGGAGGCTGGTCTAGGCTGGTGGGGGCCTGTGTGGACTGGTATAGGCCTGTATAAGCTGGTCAAGGCCAGTGGAGGCTGGTGTGGGCTGGTGGAGGCTGGTCCAGGCTGGTGCAGGCCAGCGCAGACCGGTGCGGGCTGGCTGGCTGGGGGGCGGGTGCCAGCACCCAGCTTCCCTCACTGAGCGCCTCTGTCCATCCCCAGTGTCACCAACTACAAGCTGTCCGCTGGCTACGCGCGCTGGCCCTCGGTGACAGCCCAGGTGAGCTGGGGCGCCACTGTGGCGTCTTCGGGGTTCTCGGTGTCGCTTTACTTATCTTTTTAAACTTAACTTTAACTTTAAAATTTTTGTCGGTTGTGGGTCTTGAACTCAGGCCTGGGCACTGTCCCTCAGCTCTTCAGCTCAAGGCTGGCGCTCTACCCCTTGAGCCACAGCGCCACTTCTATTTTTCTGGTGGCTCATGGGAGATCAGAGTCTCAAGGATGTTCCTGCCCGGGCTGGCTTTGAACCGCGATCCTCCGATCTCAGCCTCCTCCTGAGTAGCTGGGGTGACAGGCGGGAGGCCCCCCCCCCCCGCCCCTGGTGCCCACCTTGCTTTGCTTATTGATTGACTGAATGCGTGTCATTCCTGGGACTTGAGCTCCTGACTCGCACTGGGGCCCTGAGTAGCCTCCCGGGCAGCCAGGATTACAGGCTGAACCACAGTGCCCGGCGGAGGTTGGCGCATGCGATAGGATGCCATTCCTGTAGGCCTGAGGGTGACCTTTCACCCCCCCATTCCTCCCCAGAAATGGGTGTTCCCCATGCTGTCCCAGCAGAACAACTACACCATCAGCCACAAAAGGTCAGCGCTGGGGTCCCCCCACCCCGTGGGGGCCAGGGTGGGGGGAGCGGGGGGCTGGTGACTGGAGGCGGCTGGGGAAGCAGGTCCTCCACGCCCCCCCTTCCTCTCCCCAAAGAGACGGAGTCGCCAAGCTCAACATCTTCTTCAAAGAGCTCAACTACAAAACCAACTCGGAGTCTCCTTCCGTCACGGTAGGGACGCCCAGTCTCGGGGTGTGTGTGGGGGGGGTCTCAGCAGAGAGGGAGGCCTCTCCCAGGGGGCCTCTGGGATTGGGGAGGGGGACAGGCAGGACTGCCGAGGAAGAGGAGAGAGGAGGCGTGGGCGAGGGAGGAGGGCGCTGGGGCGGGAGGGGGTGTCAGGTGACAGGGACAAGGGCCTGAGATGCACCCCAGTTGTGGCCTCCACCTATTTCCTATGGGGGAGGCTGAGGGGGGGCGAGGAGGAGCCCAGGTAGAGGCCGAGGGGGCACGGGGCAGTTCTTGGCCCCCATGGAGGCCGGCTTGGGGAGGCCGGTGAGTGGAGGCTGGTAAGTGGAGACCAGCTTGGGGAGGCCAGTGAGTGGAGACTCCCCCCCCCCCAGATGGTGACGCTGCTGTCGAACCTGGGTAGCCAGTGGAGCCTGTGGTTCGGCTCGTCGGTGCTGTCGGTGGTGGAGATGGCCGAGCTGGTGGTGGACCTCGTGGCCATCACGCTGCTGCTGCTGCTGCGCAGGCTGCGCAGCCGCTACTGGTCCCCGGGGCGGGGGGCGCGGGGGG